AATAACCAGAAACATATATATTCAAATTTAAATTAGACACTGAATACAAACGATACATACTATCTAAATTCTAAACTAGAAATGAAATACATACACCTTAATTAAAATGGAAATTGAAATACCTAACTTAAGGATGACAAAGTACAACAATAAACATCTAGATGCATAATACATTGCAATGCCTTAATCATGATTGGAGTGACCGACACCGGGGCTATGGCCGGGCGTTGTGGGCCGGAAAGCTTCAACAAATCCTTCATCCGTAGTTCTAAAACCAGGTCGGAACTGACTAGGGCTTGCAACTTTTTTACTTGCCTCTCTTGAATTTATTTTCGCAGTAAGTTTCAAGCCTTTCACATGCTTTAACTTCTTCCCAAACTTCGCATTCCTTCCTTCGATACGAAAAACTTCGTTAGAGAAGATCAAGAGAAGAAAAAACAAACAAGTACAAGTGAACTTAGTCATAGCTTGATGATATATAGGAACTAAAACAGTACACCAACTATACTCAAACGATCGTACTCGATCAAGCTCGAAGTCTAGGTTTGAATCACAAGAGAGGGTGGATCGAGGAGAAGGAAGGAAGGAACATACTTGCAATTCCTCTCCTTCCTTGGTATTTATAAAGGCTAATAAAGAAGTGAAGCATGTGAGGTCCAAACATCAAGGAATTAAGATTCCACATAGTAAGAAAAAAATTGGTGGTGGACATCAATATGTTCAAAATCTTTTAGATGCCATTAAATTAAATTAAATAGCCATACAAGAACACTAGATACTCCATAGCTTAGCTCGCAAAAAGTTTTTATTTATACTACAAATATTATGTATTTTCTGTTTCTTTGGTGCACAAGAGAGTTTAAGAATATCATGCATGCATGTATCGTTTTGGTAAGTAAGAATATCATGCATGTTACTCCAAGATCGAATAAGAAAATGTGTGAGAGAAGCAGAAGCACAAGAAGTACAAGATATTGAAAATTTTATATTTAATGTACCTTGGCAAAGATCTCCAACAATATTCTTGAAAAAAGTTGAACCCTTCATCTTTTGATTAATTTGAAAAGAGAGTAGATACTACTAGACCATAAATTTTTATTACTTAGAAATATTGTTTGACAAATATTTGTAGCAAACACGTAAAAATTAGTTGAGTTTTGTTTTCTTTTTTCATTTTTTTTTAGTAAAAAAAGAAAAATCATAATGGAACCCATTACAAAAAAAATTAAGGGTAAATTATGCTGACTTTTCCCTGAAGTTTTGTCAATATACACTGACCTCCCTCCCTTTTTATCAAATTACACTTACCTCTCTTGAGATTTGTATGTAATTAACACATGCATACCTCCACTCGTTAATGGTCAACGACAAAAAATGCTGATGTCAGCAATTTTGTGACTTCCAAATTTCAATTTTATTGGTTTGTAATTACGTTTCTATCCTGCTTATATGTATATATGTTGTATTTTATTGCAATAAATAAATCTTCCAAGGATAAAATTGAAATATGGAAGTCACAAAATTGCTGACATCAGCATTTTTTGTCGTTGACCATTAACGAGTGGAGGTGTGCATGTGTTAATTACATACAAATCTTAAGAGAGGTAAGTGTAATTTAACAAACAAGAGAGAATGTCAGTGTATATTAATGAAACCTCAAGAGAAGTCACTGTAATTTATCCAAAATTAATGGGTCTTTTTTCCAAATAACCAAGGGTTTAGCTGATTGCCTCATTCACCCAAGCCAACAATATATGTTGCAGGATTGTGTAACTTATATGGCTTATCCAAATTCTCTCCAATAATGATTTTCTATTGTTTCCGCAAAATTCACTAGTGATAGTGATGGAATTCACCAACCGTAGGGACGGTAAGAAATCATGACGGGAGAGGATTTTATGCACTTAATTATCTCATTTGACAGACTAAGTTGAACAGTATCAATCGGCTCTAATGGAATATTATTAATTCTTATCATAATAAATTGAATAACAACAAACCAAACCCAATTTTCCAATCCATCTTCTTATGTTTCCCAGGATATTTTTCAAAAATGACACATGGTGTCAGTCAGTGAGTGTATTCCTCTGTTCAAGTAAATTAATAAACAAGTTGGTACTAACACAGTTCACAATGCCCCAAGAATATGGTGAGAGATTCTTTTGGCTTTTTTTCTTCCATGCGCACCACTAAGCACTAACTGAACGGCCTTCTTTCATTAGAGCTTAATAAATTGATTGTATTTGTATGGCTGTGTGTATATCAGTGTATATATATGTATATATATATATATATTGGCTACTAGCAAGTAGCAGCAAAAGATGTAAATCACAACTGTAAAAGCTTAGGTAGGCTGCACATGGAATTTTATCTGTGACTTAATTTGCAGCATGGGGTTAAACTATGACTTAAAAAAATGTTTAGACATATACATCTCAACATACATCTCAACTTCCCATAATTAATATATATATATATATACATCAAGAGATTCGCCTTTTGAACCTCCTTTTTTTTTTTCCCGAAATGTGATCACAACAAATCCTTCCTTTTTGAACTTTGCGGCTGCATGTTAAAGACGGCTGGTGACAGCAAAAAGCTAAAAGAAATGGAAAAGTACAAGGAGGCACCAGCTAGTTTTAATACAATAGGGTTGGTTTTGTCCACCAATTAAGCTAGAAAATTATGTATGAGGGGACAAACTTATATAGTAGGATTTTTTATATATATAAATTGTAATAATTCATGTAAATTATTAGTCACAAATAAATATGAACTCTAACATCTTAGAATTTTATTGTTTTTACATACCTATAATGCATAAATATATAGTTAGATATATATTTATCTCGATCCATAATAGTAAATCTTGTTGAGATCAAGTCCAACGTTGAGATCCTCTAACAACGAACTAAGCTGCAATTCCAAACAATAGACAAAAGTGTGAAAACTTATGCATGTTGTTTTATTAACGTACATAATTGATAGAGAATGTGCACTTTTATAATGGCATAGAGAGGACCAGTCCTTTTAGTGACCTTAATTCTACTTTTCACTAATAATTAATTACCAAAGAGATAATTTATAAGTTGACCAAATAAAATAATATTAATTTGATATCTATTTACTTAACTACTAATTAATGAAATATATAACATGTCCAAATCATGTTGACCACACAATGAATAAATAATCTTACATTTTTATGTAATTTAGCAGGGGCAATGTTAAAATTTTATGGGTATATGATACAAAAAAATAAAAATTTAGAGTATATAATAAAAAAATTCAGTGAGGCATCTCTAAGACCTGTAGATCTATCCGTGCATACAATAAGTGATGTAACATAAACAAATCAAACGTTCATAACGAATGAGGGTTACCAGCTTGAATCCACAAGGTAGAGTACTTTGAATCCATAAGGAAAAAGAGAATTGGCAGATAAATCTGATATTTTATTGATAAATGAATTAATAATTGCTCTACATGTACGTATAATTAAAAAAATCCTAATAGCATAAAAAAAATCCTTAAAAACATAAGGAAAATTGCACCTCAAGGAAACTGCTCAAAAACAAATTTGTTTTAAAAGTTTTGTAAAAATGAGGAAAGAAACCTAATTACTAAAACCACTAAATATAAAAAAAAAAAAAAAATCAATTCGAATTCGTTTAGTCTTCTAACAAAAATCCCTAAATATTCAATATTGGAAAAATGAAATTCCTGAATCCTAAACGATTAAATTCAGCCGAAAGGCGCCCAACTTCAGCAAAGAAGTTGATTTTTGTGGGTTAGGCGTTTCCAATCAAACTAAGGTCCTTGCAGGTCAAAACGGATTCATTGAAATCATCTCAAAAAAACTGGCCAACATGTCTGTTTGAACTTTTGATGGTCCAAAGTGGCTCCAAAATTTTCAACAACCTTTTATGCATCAATAAGACTAAATGAATACAAGGAGCAACTACAGATCTACCCATACCCGATAATTTAAGCTATAATATAAATGAATTCATATTGGACTTGTTATCGGGTTTGGATTCTCTGCACTACCGCATTTGTGTTGTGCTGCATTTGACGGTTCACATCGCTCATGTGTGAATGGATGCGGGTGATGAGGACCGTCGTATGCATACAACACTTGTATTGCAGGTTATCCATGAAAGTTATAATTTAGTTCGATATCTGATCATTAAGAGTGAAATTTATAAAAATAAATACAAAAATAATAATTTAATCTCAGCGTACAATGACGAGGGAAAAAAAAAAGGGAAAATTACATATAAATGGAGTTAAAGTTCCATATTTACTTAGAGGCTGAGTCAAAGTTCCATATTTCCTCTAAAATGGATTGCTGAGGTGGCACATGATTTTTTACTGTTTAGAAATTGTGATGCCTAAAATACCCTTCCGCGAAGGTACTACTTTTTCTTCAAAGGTACTACTTTTTTGAACTGAATGTACTACTTTTTGGCGTCCAGGTACCATATTTTTTAAACACTCGCAAAGGTACTACTTTTTCTCCGAAGGTACTACTTTTTTGAACTGAAGGTACTACTTTTTTGTTAGGGAATGACATTTTAGGCACCACAATTTTTTAAACAGTAAAAAATCATGTGCCACTTCAGCAATCCATTTTAGAGAAATATGGAATTTTGACTCAGTCTCTAAGTAAATATGAAACTTTGACTCCATTTATACGTAATTTTCTCAAAAAAAAACCTATAAAAAGGTTAAGACAAATAAAATATGAAAAAAATATATAAGAAAATTAGATATTTTACCTCTTTGTTAAAAATAAAATAAAATAAAGAGCCTTGAAAAGACAAAGGGAGGGAAGAAAATAGGATTTTATTTTTTTCAGTCAAATTGAATTATTATTGAATCGATCAAAATTTATGGCTAATATATTATCAAATTTGAATTAATAATTTTTTACTTAGGAGTAACTTATAAGTTGGTTGAATAGTATGTTCAGCAAACGACATCGTTGTTAGGGCCGACTCCGAGTGAAATAGAACCAACCATGGAGAATCATAAGTGAGAAATGAATTATAGTGCGTAAGAGACTGTGTTTGCAGAACTTGCATTGACAGGTGCGTCTTCAATCATCAGTTCTTGTTGTTTCAGCTAGGGTTTTGTATTTGTATTTCAGTTTATTGATGATGATTTTGATGATGATGATTCTGATGATTAGTTGGTATCTTTAGATTGCGCACACAATCTCTCTCCCCGTTGTGTGTGTGTGTGTGTATATATATATTTCTCTTCTCTATGAATTTTGACTCAATGTTTGAGGTTTAGGTTTTGAATTTAACTTACTTTTTAGCAATTCAACACGTTCTTTATTTGTATTAAATAAATTATAATCACAAAACTGTTTTTAATCTAAAATCAGAAAAGTAAATATTCAGAGCTGTTGGGTACCATGTGCTGTTTGATTATATCTCTCATGATATATTTATTTATATATATGTGTGCATTCTTCTTGTCCATCCTGAAAAGTTTGCCTTTTTTTAAGTTAGTGGCCCCAAATTTGTTTAAACGTGAGGTGAGGGTTGTGCTTTGCCCCATTTGCATGTTTTTTTGGGCATAATCTTTAGTATTCACTCCCCACATGGCTACTTTAGTTATAAATCCAACTTTATTATTTATACCATTTATTTATTTGGTGGACTAAGCTATGTTAGTCTTGTGAATGCCTGATCTGAAATTAGGAATTCGGATCCTCTCATGTGCACTGGATGACCGTCGGGAGGGTGGAGATCACACTAGGGGCAGTGGGGTTCACTATGCCCGTTGGGTCCACTCTCTCTCAAGAGTGATCTCCACCCTCCTTTGTGCTCTGGAGGATCCAGTTTCCACATCTTGCCATTTTGGTTTTGTTCTGTATGGTATCACATTCCATAACTTGAGTCATCTTTAACATGGTCTATTTATTAATCGTGTTATATCCTCAACCTTAGCACATCATCTTTACAACATAGTCACTAGTTTCAAAACTTTTCGATTTGTCCCTGTTTTTCATCAAAAGAACATATGTTTCTATTATGCTTATTTGAGCAATTATATATATTAATTTTTATATCACAAATATTCATGAAGATTTATTTATTTTTATTTATTTTTTAAATCCTTAAATTGTTCCAGGTAAATGTAGATCTCATGTTTTTAATATATGTATTTTTCTCTTTTAAAAGTTCTCCTGAAATGTTCTCTTAATCCTTGATTTTTTTTCCTGAATAATTCCAAGTTGCGATTATACTGAACAATTTCTGAGTACAGAATTTGTCGCCATGCATGACACATTAACCCAATTATTTTTCCCATCCATTCTTTAAAAAAATTTCCATTTCTCTTGTGAAGAAGATTTTTTTTATAAAATATAAGCATCTACATTAACTATGCCATATAATCAAGAAAATTAGTCTTCATGTATGTACATGCTAAAGCAAGTATTGTTTTCTCCATGGCTCAAATATATATATATATGTATATATATATATGTATAGAGAGAGAGAGAGAGTAAATCCAAATATATAAATAGACTGAAGCACGGAGATCGCAATTCTGTAAACAAATGTCTCAATTCATGTGGTATTAATATCAAAACACAACACAAGTTTTTACCATAAAGAATAGAAAAAGAAGAAAAGGGAGAAAAATTAAAAAACAAAATCCACAACTATGTAAATCAGATCTAAATTTTGGAAGGTAAAATTAAAAACAGAGAGAGAGAGAGAGAGAGAGAGAGAGATCATATGAAGTGGGATTGAAGATTGAATAAATATATAGCACTTTGATTTTTGATTGTTGGATTTCATTGCTTGAGATGAAAACACACAAAAAGAGAGGAAAAAATGGAAAGAAAAAAGAATATCATATGAAGAGGGATTAAAGATTGAATAAATTTAGAGCACTTTGATTTTTGATTTTTGGATTTCATTGCTTGAGATGAAGAGGAGAAAAGGAAGAAGAGAGTGTAGCCTCGCCTCATATTTTAGTTATGATAATGTGATGCTTTAGATCCTAGGTCTGTTAGGGTACTATAAACTTATGCCCATGTTTAATTTAATAAAATCTTCAAAATAACTAATGGCATGGCTTTGAGGCATATTCTTGTCACTAGAACACAATAATTAAACGAATCAAGTTTTGATCAAAACAAAGATTCTAATTAAATGGTCATTACCTTCTGTGGTTGTAGTTGATGTTAATCAAGAGTATTGTTGCTTTTTTTTTGGGGGGGGGGGGGGGGGGGGGGGGGGGGCGGTGGGGGTGGGGGTGTTGCATATGTAACCTTTGGCATTAGTTGCAGTGGCCAAGTGTGGACTGAAGCAAGAAACCTAATGTCACTGCATATTGTATAGGTCAATATTGCTGGTAACTTGATCGACTCATGACATGGATTTGATTGAGCTCCAATCAATTCTTTAACTTGGTGATGTGTTTGAGTAGTAGTTATAATTTGTTAAGAGCTGTTGCTCCTCTTCCAAATGATATGATTTGAATATTTATGGAATTAATGAAAAAATTTAAATTTCTCCCTAGATGGAAAAAAGGAAGAAGAAGAAAGTAATTACTCGTGTAATTTGAGATGGATCTTCAACTTTTCCTTTTGATTTATACAATTTCTGGTAATGCACATTATTATTATTATTATTATTATTATTATTATTTGGTTGCTATATTTCTGAAGTCAGAAAGTATTTACCACTGAACTATAATTATCTTGGCTTGTTTTGCCTTTTTATCATTGTGGAGTGCATGGGTTTAACAGAAAGTAATTAGACCTTTCTTGGCTTTCTGAAGTAGATTTGATGTTTTCCACAATACATTATTTATCTTGCTTAACCTTTTGTTCACTTATATTTTGATGGTGACTGACAATTATGGTTTGCACGTAAACACGCACACAAACTATATATACATACACATACATTTAAAGAGAGGCATGCAGAAAATATTATTACACACAATAAGCTAAGCTTGCAATGACCACTTGTGGGTACTTTATTTACTTACAATACAACATATCACTCTCATAAAGAGAGTTTACTTTATAAATCTAATGAAAGTTAACATACGGATGCCTCAGCAACCTTTGAACCTGCCACAGGGAATTTACAGTACATACAAGGTGCAACAAACTTGTGTTTTTCTGGACATGTCTATGCATTTGGCTCTGCTCTTTTATGTCCAGCGCCGGGGCTGCTACCTGGCTTCGTGGGTCGGAAATCGTCTGAGTTTTCTGCAAAGGAATGGCTGACACCAGGAACGTTACGTAAAATTGGTTCAATATCATCTTTGTATTTATGACCAACCCCGGGGCTGCCACCTGGTGATGTAGGTCGAAAATCATCCTTATATATCGCAACTGAATCACCAAATCCAAGGCTACGATTAGATGTCCTGGGTGAAAAGCTTTCTTTCTTGCCTGAGGCAGGGTGGTCAATAGTAGGAGCTTGACCTGCATGTGGGGCTCGAATGTCATTTTCATGACCTACAGAATTTTGGTGTAAGTTGATAGCTTGGTTGCCATGATTTTCCATTTCCCTTTCATCATGAATGAAAGTATTCTCCTGTTTCTTCATTGATTTAAGTTGCCTTCCCTCAGTAAATAGAATATCGTTGCATGTAAATAGTACAAGAAGAAAAGCAAAGGCGTAGAAGGGTTGGTTATGGGCCATGACGAGAGAAAGAAATGTTATTTGATAAGGTTCACAATAGATTTAAGCTAAGAGAGAGGATGAGAGAAGGAATGAATGTTATTTGAATGATAAGGTTCACAATAGATTTAAGCTCTGTGTGTGAGAGAGAGAGAGAAAGAGAGATGTGAATACAATGGTTATAACCAGCTTGCATCTTTTTTGGTATTTATAATCATAGGAGCCATGTCAGATCTTAACCGCTAATAATTCTTTAAATAAATTCTCCCCTGTGCTAATATAAATTTGGATGGTTTGCATTTTCGAGCTTTTTGCGGGTCCTCTTGTGAAAGAACTGTATGCTTATATTGGCTTTTTTGATGATCTTTCTCACTATATTCATGTCTCTTGCTACTTTTGTTCCTTCTATCTTCCCTTTTATTTAAAAAAAAAAAGAAAAAGAAAAAAAGGTTCTATTAATGTAAAAGTAACGGAGTGAATTCCTTGTGCTGACTTGCTGAAGGCATACTTTAGTTGAAGTTCAAAGCTTGATCATTGACTGATAATGACCTTCATGGTGCTGAAATACTGATTTATTGTTTGAATGTTGCAACAGCAGTAATTAATTAAATTAATTGTTTCTGGAAAATCAGATGAAAGATCTCAGATGTGTTCGTGTAGAATAATATTATATTAACAAGGTCAATCGGCTTTACCACCACTGAAATGCACTAAAAGAGGGATTCTACTGTACTCACCACTTACAGATTTGATTTATTTTATTTGGATGGCTGTGTGCAAGCTTTGAACTCTTTAGTCGACAAATTCAAGTGAAACACATCTGTCCATAGTTTGTATTTGGTTTTATTAATGGTTTGTGGTAGATTTTAAGTGATTTGCATCATTACTAAGCCGCTGAAAGGTTAAGATTCCACAGAACGACAAAAATAAGAATGAAGTGTACTTTCTTTGAGAGATATCACTAATCCCTTGTTTTTGTACTGTTGCATAAGAGAAGGTTAAGATTCGCTAATATAATGCATAAGAGAAATGGCTTTCTAGTACGATGCTTCAAAACCACATGTTAAACATAAAAAAACCACCCACCTTATATTAGACAGATAATTTGTCTAATAGATGCGCTGAAACACACGTTAGGGTGTTTGAATTACTTTTGTCTAACTAAAAGTATCTCGTGACAAAAATTGGAACACTGGTCTTATTCTACTCAACTTTTCTGAAATCTGCTTGTTTAGTGGAAAATTATGATTTGATTACTATTTATTACTGAACTCAGATTCTAGAACACATTTTTATTTATGCACTCATGATTATAATTCTCTTGAGCCTGTTTCTTTTTCTTCTCTCCACTTCAATGAATCTAGACAAGGAAGGACTCCCTTTGTACATATTTTATTTGTTTGGGGCATGTAAAATATATAGTAATAAATTTGATATATTCATTTATTCAGTTGCTCGACATTTGCTTTGTTTATTTGTAATCTCATTCTTATATAAACTACTAACTGTATCATTGTTGAGTTCTTTTTAGATTTTGTTTGTTGTTATTGTAAATCCAATAATGTTCAGTATAAAAAATAAGAGCACTCATTGTCGTGCACGTGTGCACTTGAAAAGCAAAATGATTTTAAATTACCAAAACAACTACCACTTGTGGGGAAGGTAGTTTAGTTAGTAATGGATGGTTTGCATATCGCAGCCATAATCTTTGACTGAATTGACCAGTAATCATTTGGTTGAGCTTTTGTTTTTTCTGGTTTTGCATAAGTAACACTTTGACCACTGGAATCTTTGTGGAACATTAATTTATTTATGTTATATAACATGGGTTTGACGTCTTGTGTCGGCGTCTTCAGGCCCTTTTAGTTATGCAAGCCAAAGCCTGCCATGTCATTTATGACAATCCTTGTATAGGGTAGCAAAATATTAGGAATATAAGATGGTCATTTTATACTCCTTAAATGAAGGCTCACTATGGTACCCTAAGTGAAGCTGAAGCGGAAAGCACCAAAGTGGAGGTGGATACTTCTAAGCATGTAAAAAATAATTAAGCTTGAGAGAAATTCGACAAAGAGACATTATTTCGCCATGTACTACACAGTTCAGTAACTGTATAGGTGAAAAAGAGTGACGTGTTTCACATTAAGAGTAATGCTGGAGAAATTGAGAAAGGGAAATACTAAAATTACATCGGTTGGGATAGTAAGGAAATATATGATAGCATGTAGTTTAACCGAAGTTATAATATTAGATAGAGTATAATGGTGAAACATTGATTTATTTTGTCAAAACTTCAGATAATTGGGTGAAGACTTTGTTGAGTTTTAGTTTGGGTGTTATATATGAACCCAAGACAGTTTGTTCTAACATTGTTCCTCCTATTTTCTGAATGTTTTTTAGGTTGTTTGCAAGATTATATTTGTTGGAACAAACTGAAGTCTAAAGCTGCCCATGTTCCATCCAGTGATGGTAGATACTGATGGATCTGAGGTACATGAATTTTTATTACTTATAGTGCAAAATTCATATTGCATGAGTTAATTTTTAAAAGTCTTCATTATCAAGAAACAAAAAGTCAAGTAAAAAAATGCACCAAAACCACTAACCCTCAAAGAGTCCCTACCACTCACTTTGGTCAAGACTTAGTAGATATTTTGTTTAAGTTAAAAAAAGTCAAGTGAAGAAAATCATGAGCTTGAAAGTGCGTCTATTTGTCCCTCCCCCCTTCCCCCCATTTCTTTAATTAGAATGGAATTATAAAAAAGAGATTCTTCCAAAAGGAATGTTTTGAGGTTGGCTCCTTGGGTTCAGGAAGCCTCTCCCCAACCTCTTCCCACTAGGAATCTATACTATTTTAAAGAGCAAAGATAATTTGATTTTGTTTTGTGCTAGGCTGTAGTGCACGAGCATGCTTAGTGGTTATTATATTAAGACAACATACGAAGGCGTTATGTTATTGTAACTTTGATGTGACAACAGAGGATCTTCCTATGCCAGCGAATCCAAACAGTCCAATAGATTTTTTATTCTTTTTCTTCTGTCCAGGTGCATTATAGTACTTGTACACAGAAAATTTTACTTGATTCTGGACTACAAAGCCCCGCCAATCACAACTCGACATGCAAGCACGTGTCGTGTCGGCTTTATTCACTCATACACTCGCACTGTGGATACAAGTCATATACTGCAAATTGCAAAAAGTAACAGTATATTCGAGTGTATATTCGATTGGTATACCATATACTTAGATGACCCAAGGGACAGTTGTGTTTGAAAGTACGCAGATCTCTAGGTGACTTGAGGTAGTAAGTAGAGATTTGGATATATTTCTATATATGAAACTGGTATGTAAAGAATTATTTGGTGTCATGGAATGCAAGTGTATTGAATGAAATTACCTATGGACCAATAGTTGACAAACTGAGATTGTTAGTCTTGAAATGGCTGGCACAGCACATAGTCAAGAGTACATATTTGACGCCTAATATGCTTAAGATGCCTGCTAAACTTTGCAATGCAAGTGGTTCAGCCCATGCAAAAATTTGGATAGAGGACCTATGACCTTGCACTCAAAGGCAGGATTATCTTCCTGGACCCTCTGATTCATTGAGCACATCTTACTGGCATCACTTCCAATCATTGACCAGAAATGAAAATCTTGTTAATTTTGATTGTAGAGTTTGATAGCTATAACATGCACTAAAAACAAAATGAAGGAGAAGAAGAACAATTTTGTAATATGATTATTTGAAAAAAATAGAATTTAGAAGGTTTTAAGATAAGTAGAAATAAATGAGTGTAATTGTAGTTAAATTAGGAATATGTGTAAAGATGTAGTGAAGATTGTTGATCTAGAGGTATAAAGTTCCTTTATCTATGCTTAATGCTCATATGGAGGGAAGGTTTTTTTTTTTTTTCTTTTTTTTTTTTTTTCTTTTTTAGTGTAAGTCATATGGAGGAAAAGATTTGAGAAAATGTTTCTATTAGAACAAATATAGAATAGGGTAAATGGAGGAGTGATTCCAATGTATCATCTACATATGCCGTATAGTTGAAAGGATTTTTTTTAAGAATTATCATTAGACAAGACATGCTTAATCATGCATAAATATTATGTGATTAAGTCTTGTTTATAAAATGTGTATCAAATGTCTGTTGAGATTGGTATGTGGTAGGACAATATTTGATATAACATCAGTCTACCCTACGTTTTCTTTTTCTGCACTTCCTCCCTTTCAACCTCTTCTTCTGCTCACCAAGGGCCTTGTGGCCTAGTGGTATCTACTCTACCTCCTAAAGTGGATGGTGAGGATTCGAGTCTCCAAAGGGGCAAAGTGGGTGTGTGAGTTTCTTGCCAATGAAAAAAAAAAACCTTTTCTACTCCTCCACCCTAACCCTAGTTTCTCTCTCTCTCTCTTAATATTGTATGCTCTGTTCTTTCTTTTTTTCTTCTTTCTGCCCTATAATTTCTTTTATAAAAATTCTCTCTTCTTTTTTTTTTTTTTAGCCTGACAATACATTACAAAAATTCTCTCTTACAATTACTTTGTTTTTATTTCAACCCTAGTTCATTATGCTTTCCTCTCCTTTTTTTTCTATCTTCTCTTTTTTCCACTTTTCTTGTATACTCCTTGAAGGTTAAAACATAAAGGTATTTTATTTTTGTGAAATCTTCTGTACTTGCATTCTTAATCCGTTAGTTTTATAGCGATACTACACATTTTTTGCTTTCATCACCAACTCTGCATTGTATCACCAGATCGACATTTTTTACTGTTGATTTTCCTACAATTGTTTTTCTTACAACAAAAAAAAGGATTGTCGCAATTATAAAATGTTTGCTACAACTTTTTTTTTTTTTCGTCTGTGGGCTATTGATAGATCACAGTCGCTTTATTAATGATATCTATGACTTTTGCAGACAATTACCAAGATTCTTCCACTTCATATCATAATTTAAAAATTCACAATAAGACCAAAAAGGTTTGAATTTTGGGGTTCTCACATGTGGCTAGCATGCCAAACAATTTATGGGTCCCATCTATAAGACCTAATAATTGAGACGACTCTTACAGCCTGTATAGTAAAAAAAATAAAAAAATGCAGCAAAACTAGAATATCTCCAAAGGACCAAATCCATAAATAAGGCAATGTTTCAAAATTTCCCCACCTTTGGGGGGAAAAGTCAGAGAAAAAAGAAATTTTGAAACTCATATTAGAATGTCAGTTGAACAATCAATCTCAGATAAAAAAAAAAGTTGGTATTTTTTCATTTTAATAAGTTGGCTACTTTCCCTAATTTCAGTTATAAAAAAAATTGAAAAATAAAATGTTGAGAATTGATTTTTATTTTCTGAAAGATCATAGGCACAATTTTGATGTAGATATTTGATCAATGTTTTATTTTGTTTTGTACAAATTTATGTCATTATTGACTAAATACATGGCTAGCTAAATTTTTTTTTTTTGGGTCCATTTTTGTTTATATCCAAGATGAAATTAGCAATATCTATGTTTGTATACACCTAATATATTTCTGACATCAATATCTATGTCTGTATAAACCTAATGTATTTCTGAAATGACCTATGGTTGTAATCATTTTTACTCTCTCTTCTGGCTGTATTGGGAATGGACTTTCTCATTATGAGTACACCATTTTAGCTATCTTTATCTTTTGAGGGTATGCCCTCTGGGCACCTGTAACTTCTTTTTCTTTCAATGCAACACCAATTATGAAAATAATACTAATAATAATATATTTCTGAAATACTTTTAGTTTATAGATAGTATAATATTAGATCCTTTTATATTAACGAATATATACTAATACTTCTACTGAAAGAAAATATATTACACAGCACAATTTTTATTTCCATGTCACTAGTTAACCACCCCCACCCCAAACCCTCCTCCCCTTCCCCCCAAAAGATAAAAATTACCGGGTCTGGCCCTGGATAGTGGCGACTTGTGTGGTTGATGTACGCTATAAAGCTGAAAGAAAAATTCTGTAGAATAGTAATAAGACAAAACATGCGTTATAAGAAATAGTATTATGTGGGTAAGGCATGTTTACAAAATTAGCACGGTCAATATACGAATATTTTGACAAGAATAAAATTAGAGATGAATGTATTCGCGAGACAGCAGAACACTCTTTGGTGATCAAATGAGTAAACACCGACTGCAATGATTTGGTCACACACAGTGAAGACCAATAGCTGTATTAATGAGGAAGATTGACATAGTATATACATTAAGGATAGTGTTAGGGAAGGTGAAAAATAGAATTGACACAAGATAGTAAATAAACATGATACATGTAGTTATATGAAAGTTAATCAATGTGACTGATATATCACTGAAATGAGTCGTTATTAAGTAGATTTGAGTTGTTTATGATTGCCAGTGGAGAAAAGTGTTAGAGAAGTAAAAATTGTGTAGTTTCATCCTTTTAGTTGCAGCAAATTAATATAAGGGAGAAGCTAAACTAAGTAATAATTGCAAAAGCTATACACTTATGAAAAATAAATTGCAAAAGCTATAAACATTATTTTTATTTATTTATTTTTTGTTGGTCTGTAAAACAGGTCTCATAGGAAATGGATTGAAACAAAATGGTCATGTCCACTAATCGTATAGCCACCTTTTATTTGTCTCAAATGATTGAATTTATATTATAGGAGTGAACATCTCATTTCTAAAATCAGGTTGGGTTGTGTATTGGAGCAAATTTCATGTTCACATTACATTGCTTATAGGGTTTCTACATGAAAATGGAGGTTCATTTGATTTACAAGGTCTGATATTATTTTAGTTGGATATATTTCTTTATGTTCAAATATATCAATATGTATTTGTATTTGATATGCGGGTGGGGATTGTTACACAGGTTGGTAGATTCAGAGGATGTATTTCTTGAAAAGAAAAAGAATTGGCCAAACTAGGAATAATAGTGAAAATTATAGTTTGATTTATGGAAAGGAAGCGTGGTGCTTTAGGTGGTTTATTACATTTAAATTCCCTCTTTTTTACTTTCCAGTGAGGTGTAGCAGAATGGAGGATAAAACTGATGGCCATGTGTGTTCTATGTTTTGTTTTTTCTCCTTTCGATCATATGGGCAAACGATGGAGAGGAAGGAGAACCTCTACAAGTCTATGTATTATTTATTTAGTTTTGTACAGACAAAGAAATAGAAAACAATGAATACCATTGTCATGTAATAAATGCAAATCTATATGAAAACTACATAGTGACATACATTCAAATTCAAATTTACATTTCATTACATAAACGCGTGATAGATGATAGCATGATACATGCTGATACATAAATCATATAAAAACTACATACTGACATAAATTGAAATTTACATGTCGTTACATAAACACGTGATAGGGGATTACATAAATCCAATTTATATAACAATAAATTACACACAACTGACCATATATTTGTAGACATATTATGACAGTTTCCCTGGGCCTAGCAGCCTAGCCCTAGTTTTGAAGGGAATGCCCAACACCAGGACTGTGACCTGGGGCTGTAGGTCTGAAGTCGTCGACATGACCGGGTGGTGGTGGCTGAGTCTCATCTACAGCTTTATTCTGTGCCCCTGGTGCCGTTGGTGGCGCCGGAGCTGTAGGGATAGGCTCATTTGCATATACTGTTTTATTTATGCTGTCACCTTGCATGTTGCTGTTGTGCTGTGCAATATTCTTTGTTTCTTTTTCGAAGATCTTGGTGTGAGTTTGGAGCTTTAGAAATCTATTTTTCTTCCCTAACTTAATATTCCTCCCCTCACTACACTGAATTTCTAGGACAAAAATCAGTACAAGGAAAACACTAGCAAATACTAAATTAGTTTGAGCCATAGAGAGAGAGAGGAAGAGGGGGAGAAGGAGGGGGGATGCGAGAGAGTTAGAGAGAGAGAGAGATAGAGAGAGAAGCTTGGTGCTGGACTTCTCCATCTCCTGGGTACTTATAGGGCTGAAAGAGCCATGTATGGGTCCTCACCACTGGGAGATTCTTTAGATATAATATACTGAGAAATCAGGACAATGTGTTGGTTCACAGCCTAGTATTGTAGGGTTACTCTGTCAAAACTTTGTTTGCATTCCCCATGCAAATGCTCACTCTTTTTGCCTCTACTTTTTAGCCTTCTTTAGCTATACAGGTGTTTCAATGCGAAACAGGCTCAGAATTTGGATGTTGACTAAAATTATCTCCATCCAATATGTTTAGAATTTAATCACTGTAGCCACCACTTAAAAGAATGGCTAAAACATTCAAACATAGTGCGGTTGGTGTGCATTGTGATGCTACAATATAATTCATTAGAAGTTACCATGGTGTTTGCGAGACACAGAGCCCACCGTTTACAATTTTAAAACACACAAAACATTATGTTTTCATTCATACAAACCCTACAAGGGCAGCTTTCCAACTAGAAATTAATCTGATATCTTTTCTTTTTATTTTTTTATATTTTTGCAGCCATTTTGAATGTTAACCAGCTAGATTTCTAACTCTTAGCTATTGAAATTTAACTGAAGAAAGTTTTTTTGGCCTTAGCGTAGCTGTACTGTCAAACACATGCTGTTCAGAGTGTAAGGAAGTTAGAAGAGTTGCCCTTGCAGAAGGTCAGGATTCAAAGATGGCACTGTGGTTTGACTCTCACATACATTAACTTTTTATTTTTTATTATTATTATTTTTTAATCCTGGCAAAGACAATAACAAACAACATGGAGTAATGGAAACAATCCTTAGCTGTTAGAGCTAGGATTTTTTTTCTCGTATGCATTGATTAGCTCTTCGTTTAATGCGTACATGTACACTTTAGCCTATTTTTCAACTCTTCTAGACTTTATTTTTTTGTAAAAGGTCCACAAGGGTTTGTCCAATGGATAGAAGTTTAAGGATTATGCTACACTTCTATGTTCTGTAAGCAATTAAGTTTTATTCATATAGAGGAAGCCGAACTGTGACAGCATAAAATTCAGAAGCATTTGATGGTGAATTGCCCTTGCAGAAGGTCAGGGATTCAAAGATGGCACTGTGGTTGACTCTTATATGCATTAATTTTTTATTTTTTATTATTATTATTTTTAATCCTGGCAAAGATGAGAACAAACAACATGGATTAATGAAAACAATGCTAAGCTGTTAGAGCAGCTATGATTTGGTTCTCATATGCATTGATTAGCTCTTTTAATGCATACATGTACGTTTCTAGCCTATTTTTCAGCACTTTGGACTTGATTTATTTGTAAAAGGTCCACAAGGGTTTGTCCAATGGATAGAAGTTTAAGGATTATGCTACACTTCTATGTTCTTTAAGCAATTAAGATTTATTCATATAGAGGAAGTCGAACTGTGGCAGCATAATGCTCAGAAGCATTTGATGTTGAAGTTTCAGCTCATGCTGATCATAAAATAACGGATGAGGCCCTAGTAAAAATGATCCATAGGTGTACAGGTTTTAGGTAAAGTCAGGGTAGAGAAATTGCTGGAGTCCCTTCGAAACGTATGAGGGCACCCTGATGGTTGAAATGCTATGAATATCATGCAATCAAGTGTTCCTTATAAATACACAAAGTGATCATTTAAGCGAGCTTTGATAATCTGGAAGTACTTTTCTTGCATTGAAGATCTGCATTTTCTTCTTAAAAGATATATAAGTCCCGTCAAGCAAACTAAAAATTGATTCTTTCTTTCTTTTTCCCCTCCACCCGAAGTCCCAAGGTTTGTCTTGCTTTCTAATTTTCCTGCTTTACTTCAGCAGGTTGAAAATCCACCATCGAGGACAAACAAAGATGGTACTTTAGAGGCTGCCGAATCAAGGGAACTCTGGAAGCAAGACGTTCGCGATGCTTGAAGATGCTATTTGTCTAGCAAGGCAGGATGAAGTAGAGAACATGGCGAGTGTGACACAATGTGAAGACAAGACAATGTGGCAGAGGATGATGACACGCAACAGTTTTGAAGACGTTGAGATGTATGTACCATGTGACAGTCCCATATCAAAAGGGTAATATGGTTCTGAGATACATCTGTGTTTCTTCTCTAATAGCCTGGTGAAATTAGGCTGCAGGATCTACCTACCACTGCTTTAGAGAGCAAAAACCCTGGCTTGCTGGACGGCTAAACCGCTCCACCAGGTCACACTGTATTCAGAGACCTCTCGGGATTTCTCAGCTCCAGATTTCTCAGCTCCTAAGTGCAGTAGCGGTAATGGGCACGAGGAAGGCAACTCCTATCGTGTAATGTTTTGATTTGATATTTTTTTGGTGTTGGGTCATTTAACCCAAATTATTATTATTCACACTCCGACTTTATTAAAGTGATTTTTTGAGGTTGGAGGCGTGAGACAGTTAGTCCATGACTCTTGTAAACTTGAACTGCACATTTGTTTATTTCATTCTGGTGGAAGAAAAATCCTCTTTATGGTCTCATCGTTGTCTTTATTTAAAAAAAAAAAAAAAAAAAAAAAAAGCCCATTGACCTAGTAAATCAGAACACTGTAGATTACAAATTAGAAATGTTCTTTTGTTATATTTGCCCTAATCTTCTTAGTGCGATTTTTGCTTTCCAAATGTCACATGAGAAATGAAATAATGTGCGGGGTAAATATTTCTGTGTGCTGGAGATATTAAAATCTTCTACATTTTGGTTTTGAAGGAAAAGAAAATACTACTTCACATATCTTAGTAATGACCACACATACCTTACTCCAACTATTTTCATTAATCGTAACAAAAATGTTTATTTATTTCTACAATAAAGCGCAGGAAAAAGGAAAATAATTTATTATTTTTTTAATAAGAAAGTTTATATAAGAATTAGGTGTTACGAAAATAATTTTCAAAGTAACTTGCCGAAAAAAAAAATAATAATTTTCAAAGTAGAAACATATAAACCCTAAAGAGAAGGCCGAAAATGTCGGATCTTCCTGTGGAGCTAATCGCCGACATACTATCAAGGTTACCGGTGAACCCACTTGTACGGTTCAGATGCGTGTCAAAATCATGGTGTGCTCTGATCGACAGCGCACATTTCATCAGATTGCATCTAAATCGATCCATAGAAACCAACACCAATTGCAGCATCATTTACATGCAAAATGAGCTCGACTCCATAAACTTGAACTCTCTCGACGGTGATGATGGTGCGCTGATGCTTGAAGAAGATACTGAATTGATCGGTTCTTGTGACGGGTTGCTCTGTTTGTTCGACTCGCACAAAGACATTGCCCTGTAGAATCCTTCCACCAGAAAACACCACCAATTACCAGTCTCACCGATTCACTTCCCGCGCGAACGTGGCGTTTACAAGAACAGTGTGTACGGATTTGGACACGATTCTGTGAATGATGACTACAAGGTGGTGAGAGTAACAGAGTTTTTTTTGCAACGGTGAAGATTCGTTTGAGTCGGAAGTCAAGGTTTAAAATCTGAAGTCGAATCTGTGGCGACGGGTTCAAGATTTCCCTGATCACATCTGCTGGAATGGGGACAATGCCGTGCTTGCTCATGGGGCTTTGCACTGGGTTGTGTGTCGAAGACAGGATCCGGATGGGTCCAAGTTGATTGCTGCTTTCGATCTTGGGGCTGAGGAATATCGGTTGGTGCCACAGCCTGATTATTCTGATGAGAATTTTGAGATGTGTCTGGAAGTTGTAGGAGGATGGCTTTGTCTAGTTTGCGACTCTCGCGTGTTCAATGTTCATTTATGTGTTGATATATGGGCGATGGAGGAGTATGGAGCAAAAGAATCTTGGACTAAATTGTGTTCTATTGCACAACCCAGTACCCTTAGCTCCGTGGATTTTTCGAAGACCGGTGGGGAAGTACTACTGGTGCAGGACGGTGATAGGTTTCTTTGGTATGATTTAGAAATGAAAACAATCAAAAATTTAGAAGGTGAGGGTTTAGAGTTTATATGGGAAGCTGATTTATGTTTTCGAAGCCTCGTTCGGCTTCGGTGGTGAAGGTGGAATTGACGAGGAGAAGCAGCAAGCACAATAGGCTTGATTTCTTTCTCTTTTAACTTGGTTTTATTGATTAGTTTATGGTGTTCTTTCTTATTATGAGATTAATGGAGGCTGAAGACTGTATTGATGAAACTTAATACAGAGAGACTACAATCAGGTTTAGCCAATTCCTCTATGAAAGTAGGAATAGCCTTCATGAAATCAATCGTTCTCTTTTTTCTGAAATGCATATTTAGCTTCACCTGAGCTACTCCATTGCCTTCTCCCTTAACCCATCCAAATCTCGAATAATCATGATATTGTAGTTAGTCACTGACTTCCTTCTGCAATTGAAGAACAATCCCTTTGTGGATTCATCACCAGATTGCAGTCCCCCTCTACCACTACTCATCATACCCCAAGTTGCCCTTATATATATATATATATACACACCACAAATTGCAGCTCATTTTATTCCTAGCAACCATAGCCTCAACCACGACAGAAGAAACTGTTGAAGGGGGAACTAGAAGAAGACCACAACTTTATGTACTCTACCGGATTCAACTCTCAGTACAGTCCCACCAGCTGCCTATCCAGAGTGAGAACTAAAAGCAGCATCAAAATTAAGTCTTAAAAATAATAATAATAATAATTTGGATTCCATCTTGCTATGGAATGCATTCTAGTCTCCCTTACAGAATGTACTGTATACTTCACCTACCTAATTACATTGAATTCCTTTAGCATCTAATATTAAAATTTCTCTCTTAGGATTGATACAGGACTCATAGGGTAGGTTAGGAATGTTACGAAGGAGTTACAGAAAGAAGATTAGGGAATATTTTACTGTTATTACATCCAATATACTCTTTTTTGTGAAGTCATTAGTCAAGTTGCGTAGTTAAAATATTTCCATTTTACTTGTGTAGTTCCTATGGTTTTGAAAGTTGGCACCTTAAATGATCATGGCATGCTTGCATTCTAGTACTCTCCTTAATTTTGATCTGTTTTTATGCCTCTAATTTTCATCGATGGTAATTGAGTTAAGTGAGGGTGTGAAACAGAGTTAGGATACGCTTTATGGGTAAATATGTGTTAGAATTTTTTTTATAAGTAAATGTGTGTTAGAATTGCTTTTGTACAGTACACGTGAAGGTTTGTTTTCTCTGTGTGCCTCTCATATGTATTTTGCTGAGAGTTTCGATGAGGGAGTTCAAATTTCCTTTTTCTGGATTGGTGAATCGTCGATAACAAGTCTATGATTATCTATTCTTGGTGATAAATTCATAAATTTGTAGTGTACTTGACTTGGTCCAGATCATGGTTCCTTTTTTACAAACTAAATGTTTTTGAGTTTCTTGAAATTTTAATAATTTAAGTTTGTTGAATTTTTTTTATCTTCATGCTTGAAATTGTGATTGTAAATTAATGTTTTTATTAGTTAGATGCCAATTGAATAGGAGGCCCCCACTCGAAGCCATGCCATGCACTTTCACAATTTCTTGAGCATTGTATTCATTCAATTCTGACATGTTATTGGTGAAAGGGGGTGCATTCTTAGCTAATTCATTAAGGTATAAACGTCAGACTTTTGAGGCCAATATTAAATTCTGAATGATGTCTTGTGGGCGGTGCTTAATTTGTGTTTCTAAAGACTTTTTGATACCATTGTTGAAGGCATATGTGCTTGTATTTTTTTTAGCTTTTAGTTTGTTCCACTTTGCTTGGATTATTTATGCTATAAATGAGGATAGAAACGCTGGGTTATAAGTTGGCTTGCATCTGTTAGGTGATTTGCGACATTAAAATTGATTTTTAAATATTTGTTATGATGACTTAACTCAGGTTGCTTCCTTTCATTTTGTGGGTTTCGTGAGAAACTGAAGTAAATGACCCTTTGTGGGTTTCCAATGGCTCTACTATTTTACATGGTTTTATTTCATCAGTTTCTTGTCAGACTTTGACAAAGATCCAATCAGACCTTTCCATTTGGCCGTTGATTTTTGGTAATTTGGTCGGGATTTTGTTGCTTACCTAAATTTTCTCATGTTATCACTGATTTTCATCCCTTTTGAAATTTCTCAAATCCTTTGTGAGTTGATTCATTTAAAATCATCCTCAATTTGAATGTGAACTTGTAGGTTCCCTAATTCATGAATGTTGGAATTTCATTCTTTTTTCTTTATTTTTCTCTCCCTCTATTTAGGCAAGATTCAATGGTTTCCTCAATTTAGTAGTTTATGTTCATATAAATTAGGATTCTCTCTTGTGCACTGTATTGCCCAATGTAAGGGAGAGGGTGTAGATCACCCCACTGACACGTGATCTCCACCATCCCCGCTGGTTTGTATCCTTTTACCAACATTTCTCAAACTTCGTGTTTATTTACGAACAATAATAATTATTACTCCCCTTATATGAGGGAGAGGTAACAAAATATGCATCATCTATTAAAGCTATATAAGGAGTGAGATGTTTAAGATAAAGTACAAACTTCAATGAAAAAAAATAAATCAATTGTGTTTTAAGCATCCAATGTCAAGCAAGATGTATATTTGAACTACACGTGTTTATATATCCTGGTGGAAGAAAGCATATTTGATATGGGTTTCAACATTAGGGGTTTGTACAAAGTATACATCTGTTTCATACTAATATGAATACATTTGGAGGGAGATGTAGAGGTTGTTGAATATTTGAAGGTGGTGTCATTTAACAATAGAAGCCCAGATGTTGTAAACTCATTATGTGTTTGTGTCATTGATTTTCTAAGGGGTAAAGTCCAAAAACAAAAAAATCACTTTACCCCCAATATATGTTAGTTTTGCTTTAGCTCATTTTTTTATCTCTAAATGACCGTGTCTTGAATTTCTGATAAATTTGTTTGGACATTTTATCTTTTTGCTTGAACTTTTGATTGTAAATTTTTGTTTTATTAGGTATAGATGCCAACCGAACGGGAGCCCCCACTGGATGCCATGCACCTTCGCCCCCACTGGATGCCATGCACCTTCGCAATTTCTTGAGCTTTGTGTCTGTTCGGTTTCTAACATGTTATCGGTGAAAGGCAGAACGAGGTGCTATTCATCAAGGTATAATGAACAGTTGAGCAAACTTGAGACTTTTGACGCCAATATTAAATTTCTGAATGATGTATTGTGAGCACTGATGCTTAATACTATGTGTTTCTGAAGACTTTTATATCGAATGCATATGCGCTTATATTTTTGGATCTTAGTTTGTTCCCACTTGGCTTGGGTTGATCCAGGATGATTTATATGCTATAAATGGGGGATTGAAACTCTGTGTTATATGGTGCATCATTTCATTTTCTGGGCTTTTCCTGAGAAAGAAAGGAATGTGAATGACTCTGTGGGTTTGTTTTGGCAGTCTCGTGCATGGTTTTATTGCTTCATTTCCGTTTCGCCGTTGAGTTGAGTTTTGGCTGACAACAATGTTTGATTTTCATCTCTGAAATTT